ATATATCTAGATGCCTGCTAATTTCCTCTTGTAAGAAAACTAGTTAGTTAAAACAAGCTCATTATCATTCATGTGACTCATAAATCTTTCACAAAAGGAAGCGGAGTCTGAACATACAAATGAAGCTTTACGCATCATTAGTTGACCGGGTAAGGTTAGATTAGCCCCATAAACGAGTTGTGCAGTTGTGCATTGAAAGTCTTCTTTCATTTTAGGGCGTATGCCCAATAAAATGAAAGATAAGAATTTACTCCGTCTGAGCTGTGCCATCAGCGAGCTTTTCAGTTGTTTATGAGGTCATTCCACTAGTCTTTTTCCTGCTGAGTGGTTCGCTGTTGTAGTGGTGTAATGAATGCCCAAAGAATGCCACTGGAATCTCGCACAAGATCACTCTTACAAAGTACTTGCTCAAATTTGGATGTACATCACCAAGGTAGATAATCTATGTCGAATAATTGGTGGCCTACTGGAGTTACACGGGAACGGTGTGATTAAAAGCTAACTTGAGAGTCACATCTCACGATCAGCACCTAACGTGAACTACCCCGTTCGTCGTACAAAGGTATTATGGCTGCTTTGAAGACTATCTTACTGAAAGAATGTTATTGCGGAAATGTATTGGTAGAAGTAGGTGCAAGAGAGAAATTTTGACCACCACCACATGAGCCAGTCCATGGCGAATGATTAGTTGTTACGAATTCGTTGTCCTTGAGCTCGACAAGATCTGTGAACTGTTCGACATTCAGTGACCCAACCGCCGAATGATTTGGCCAGGGCTCAGTAAAATTTCACTGGCCCTACAATAATCACACATTGGATTCGACGGTCATTTGGATCGGTACCAACACATGTTAAGATTAGTCGTGCACCAGAGGTTGCCGAATGATTAATATGAATCCTCCGGGTATTGCCAAGTTGTAGAGCAAATTGACAAGAGGGGAAAGAAACTGATTGAGAGATGGCGAACAATAATATGTTAATAAAGTGTTGGTTGAATGTACGGCGATTAACTATGGAAAAAATGGAAAAAGAAACACGACCTTTTTAAATTTCTGTCAAGTGGCGTTGGAATAGATAGCTTCGAGAATTGATCGAGTTCTTCAGATAAGAAACACAAAGTTCACCGCAGGAGCAACGACACTACAGTAGCAGTACGAAAGCGTATTATCAATCCACACCAATGTTTGTACTGCCGTTAGCTTAAAATAGAATTTCAGACGGTGTCGTTGACAGTTTACCGAATATTCAACAGACTAACTGTAAGTACAGAAGTATGACTGTGAAACGAAATCGTGGCTTCGTTGTGCAAAGCTATTGAACAATTCGTAGTCACAGTTTAGAAAGTCGATGATTGCTGCTGCAACCAGTAAGGGTCATAGACTACAGATCGAGTGATAGTGACACGATAAAGTTGTCTCTACAGGATGATAAACTGTGAGTACTGCATATAAGTTCAATAACTGAACCGAGAAATATCAAAGAGAACATAAGAACCCAAAAATGTCCCTCTGGACTCATGTCAATAATAGCAGTGAAAAACGCTGTCAGTGTTGGTATAGAGGAGACAATGTCGTTTTTAGTTTGCGGAAGATTAGCTTGACCGCGTAAACTTATGATTCGCGCGGATGATAGTTTTCTGACCATCAGTTGAGCTGGACAGTTTTCACATGGCGAGTATTCGAACAGCCGATTAGTGTAGCGAAATCACCTGTTAGATGACAACCACGAGAAAACAATAATTCACAAAATACAGTACGATGTAATAGTCGGGCAGTCACAGTGGTTTGAATGTGTCATAATGTCATAGAAAAAAACACTGTACTTGTATACTCCAGGAGCTACGCTGAACGTTCTTTCGTATATTACTGGTATTTTAGGGGCACAACTAGTAACAAAACTAACACTACTGTCTAGTCAACGCGTTTTCCGACAAGGAAAATGACGCAAAACACTTATAGAATGTAACACATTTTCTGTGGTACCAACATACGTGGTCGTTATATTTGCTTGTTCTTATGGTGTGCCGATTCTTACCCCTCCGAGAATTAGATCGGGACCCTTGAGATAAAAGATGGGAGATTAATAATTGCAATGCATGTAGCTTGCTTATAACGCTAGCAACCGTGCGTGTATGATATGTACGTTGGTGGCTTTATTAGGCTGTTAAGGACGCCAAGGTGAGGGTTTGCATACTACTCAGAGTGTGATGTAATCTGTACATAAGGTATCGTACCACATGTTATCTCTAAAATCTTATCAGCCATGCCTGGTAGGTTCTCCAAACCCAAAGGTTGGCCGGAAGCGCAAAGAATTCGCCTTGCTACATTTGGTAAGAATTGTAGCCAAATTTCCTCCAGAGAAGCATCATCAACTGTATAATGTTCATTCAACTTATTCATCTGGCATAATAATTGAAACCGTGACTTGTCATATAACTCGCATTCTTATAACAATTGTTGAATCCATTTTCACCTGATACCGTGGTACGCTGAATAAAGGCCTGGTTTAACTAATCATAGGCTTCCAACAGAGGAACATCATTTACAAAATCCGATGCCTTAAATACAATTTGGTCGGCAGGATTCTATGCACGAAAAGGAACTTCGAAGCCCGTGAACATGCATTGCGACGATGAAACTGGACATCTACCTGTGAAAACCATGTACACGGGTCTCACCTACTGAATGTTGGCACATTTATGAGGTTCAGAGCATGTAAGCCCGTTGAATTGCTACTTTGGTTAATATCTTCGGATTCGAATGAGTACATGATAAATAGGAAAAAAACAATCATTAACAAGAGGAAAAGAAAAGCCGAAATGTTTGTAAGGAAATGCAAGTGCTCATCAGATTAGTGATGTATCTCAGTAAAAGAACGCATTCAAAAGATAACAATGAACATAGTTCCAATGGTATACCGAAAAAGATCAACACTACAAACTGAAGTGTCTGTCTAAGAGTAAAGTAAAACTGTAACAAATGGCGTTTAAAACAAAATGGTACATTAAGTGGTAAAATGATAATAATTGATATGAGATGAATGTTACTCGCAAGTTCTTTTTAAGAAAGCAACAATCAATAAGTTCATATGATTAACGAAGGTTATTCTGCAAGTGGTGATACCAACGGTGAGATAGGTTAAATCCGATAGTATGATTCAATAATGAACTACAAAGTAGTTTATAGTACCAAAAAACTGTTATAACACTGTTATAATCTTCGATACCAGGCTCTGGGCCAATAAAGTAGAAGAACAGACGACAGACAGAGCCTTTATTTTCTTTAGTAAAAGTCATAGTGTATTAGTGTAACCAAAACTTTTTTAAAATCGCTACGGAGAAACTATTGATATTGAATATATGAGATGGTGGAGAAGATTTGTAGCTCAGGTGGATGATTTTGGTGGTGTTTTGTTCTCTGAGCTGGATGGTTTGGTCGTGGAGCTTTCATCGTTCTTCTGAACGACATCATCAGCACAAACTTCAGATAGAAGTGAAGTGTCACTTCTATCTGAAGTTTGTGCTGATGATGTCGTTCAGAAGAACGATGAAAGCTCCACGACCAAACCATCCAGCTCAGAGAACAAAACACCACCAAAATATTGAATATATGTTTGATTACACATCCACTGTCAAAAATAAATAGAAATGTGGTCTTTATGTTATTGTTACAAAAATCATTGAATATACATTTAATTATACTTTCAACTATTTATCCACTAGAGTTTTTGGTGATTCCCAACAAGAAGAGCTTATAAACGGTGTGTCGATACACTAGTTTAATAATAATATACCAAGAAAATTAATAGTAAAAACTCTAAGTGTCTGTCTGTTAATAAAACCAAGGTAACAAAATATAGTTAGAAATACAAAGGGTATATTAAACAAACAAATAACAATTATTATGGACTGAATGTTACTTGAAAGCTGCCTCGTGAGAATAACAACCACAAATAAGTTCACTCGATTAACGAAGGTTCCTCTGCAAGTAATTGCACCAACGGCATATTGAGAAAGATTGCGTTCAATAGTATTATAATATAATAATCCGTGCCAGAATTCCAACGTGGTGTCGGAAGGGCCAAAGAGATGTTATAACACCATTACAGTCTTCAATCAAAATCCGTGGTCAATAAAGCAGAAGAGCAAACGGTGTAGATAGCGGTTTATATTTTCAAACCACGCGGTAGTAAAATCGTATATTATTCATCGAAACAATTATCATCGTGATTAACAAGTAATACAGAAAAACAACAGATACTGAATAAAAACGTGGTTACATATAAAGTGTGACAAACTAGAGAGAAAATACGGTTTTTATTTTGTCTTCACAAAAAGCATTGAATATACGTCACCATAAGTTTGTGGAGCTACGCGTTCAGAATATCCGTAAAGCCTGAAGCCATATATGTCTTCATCCTCAAGTGAACTTTTAGGTGAAAAGTAGACAATTAAGCGTATATGTAGGTGCAAGGTAAACAATTCGGCGAACATTCAGGCGAAAAGTAGAAAATTCGGCCGATATTTAAGCGAAAATTGGAGAATTCAGCGGATCCTTAGGCGAAAATTGGGCAATTCAGCGGATATTTGGGCAAAAATCGATAATTTATCGACAAAGCGGCAAAAAGGGGGAAATCCGCATTATTTACCTCCCGACAGGCGACATTCTGTCGCGTTCTCCCCTTTCTCTTCCAACGCATTTTCCCATTTATTTCCCTTTTTCGCCTTTATCTCCCCTATATTGGTTGCTTGGGTATTGTAACATATAAAGCGTGCCTAAAAATCATTAGTTTTTTGTGCTTGTGCATTAAGAAGATATTGGACACTAGCAATTAAATGGCAGAGTCATTAAGTTTGCAGAGCTATATTGTGGTTTGATCATATTCAGATTCTAGATATTAATAGAGTGTTGAAGTTGTTGGAAATACTTCAGAGATGCCCTGAAATACAGTCATCAAAGTTGGCAGCCTTACAGCGCATACTACAGTCGGACTTTTGTGACATGATTCGTGAAGTTTATGAGCATATATATACAACTGTTGATATTAATGGGTCAGAAGAAGTTAGTATTGTTTTGTTGTATTATGGGTTTCACTCAAATATAATGTTCAAAGCCTCAATTATAACTCAATTTTGCCGTTTATGCCACTGAATAATCCATTCATGTAAAATACTAGCGGAAACTGGTGACGTTTTTACTTGATTCATTCAATAAGGGATAGATGCTTTTAAAGGCCTACTAGGAACCTACCGTTAAATGTTCCTGGCCTTCTGTTCTCAAGGCCCAAGTAAAAGTCCACAGAGATTAAGAAATGAGTTTGAACTAATCAAGGTCAGTCAGTCAGTAACAACGTAGAACTTCGTACGTACGTACATCAGTTCGAGTTGCCACACCACATTAGCACAGAGATGCAGTTGTCGATTCAAATCCCGTAGTGGTAGAGGTAATAAGAGTATAAGCAGTAATCGGGAAGATTAGGGTTTGGAGATGTTATTTAAAGAGTATAATCCAGTGAAATAAATTTGGAAAGAGGAAAAAAGGGACATGAAGAATTCAGAAGATTAGAATTTGGGAGAACACAGAGAGTGGATGCACCTGCGCCATTGCAAACGATTTTGAGCCATGTCATTCAGGGTCTCTAACCATCGGTTGCTATCATCTCGCGGTCCCCAACCAGGTAGTCTACACCTACCAACATGACTCAGTCCACTTGTCAGTGACTTCATGGACTTGTGCCATGTTTTGGTTTGGCCGCCCCTAGCTTTCTTCCAACCTACTCCTATACCACTGAACATAGCACGTCGAGGCAGTCGGTCGTTGGGCATACGTAACACGTGTCCCAGCCATCTCAACTGATGAAGTTTCACTACTTCATCAATTGATTTGCCATCCTTACCTAGTACCCGTTTCCTAACAACTGGTTACTTACTCGATGGTCCCATGATATACGAGCAATGTTTCGAAGACACCTATGATCAAATACTAGTAACCTACGAATATCCTCTACTCTTACCGGCCATGTTTCACTGCCATAAAGTAGGACGGAACGAACTGCTGCGCAGTAAACACGTCCTTTGGTTGATAGACGGATATCTCGCCTACGCCATAAATGACGCAAGTTGGCAAAAGCTAGTCGAGCCTTCTGTATCCGTGCTGAGATTTCGTCACACACCAAACCACAAGGGCTGATGAGACTTCCAAGATAAGTGAAGCGGTCGACACACTCAACTACTTCACTCCCTATCACTAGTTCGGGTGTCGATGTAACCCAATCCTGAAGCAACATTTTGCATTTCGAGGGAGAGAATCGCATCCCGAACATGCTTGCATTGTTGCTTAGAGTGGTCAGAAGACTCTGCATTTTGTCAGCGTCTTCACCAAATAAAACTATGTCATCAGCATATTCTAAGTCAACAAGTGAACCTCCCGGTAGAAGTTCAACCCCTGGAAATTTAGATGAGGAGAGTGTTATCTCTAAAAGTACGTCGACCACAAAGTTGAACAAGAATGGGGAGAGTGGACAGCCCTGACGAACACCACTTGAGGTAATCAATTCTGATGACAGTTCGCCATAAGCTCTCACTCTACCAGTTGTGTTCGAGTAGAGAGCCTTTATAAGGTTAATGTACTTCTTTGGTACTCCTTTCAGTGACAAACACTGCCATAGAACCTCACGATCAACAGAGTCGAATGCCGCCTTAAGGTCGAGAAATACTACCATTGTGGGGCGTCTGAATGTGTGTCTGTGTTCTAGAACCTGACGTAGTGTGAATATCTGATCTATACAACCACGTCCAGGTCGAAAACCGCCTGGTTTTCTCTAATCTGCTCTTCACGAGCTTTGATTAGGCGTCGAAGTATTATTGAAGCTAATATTTTAGACACTATATTAGTCAAACTGATTCCTCTGTGATTGTCACAAGAGGACTTTTGTCCTTTCTTATAGACTGGCACAATCAGTGATTGAGACCAGTCAGATGGGATTACGTCCAGTTCCCAAATTCTACCTAAGACCTCAGTTAATCTCATTGCTAATACTGGACCACCATCCTTAAAAATCTCAGGAGTAAACCTGTCAGGGCCTGCTGCTCTCCCTCGTTTCAGATTTCCTATGGCTTTTTCAACTTCGTAAAGGGACGGAGGACCTACATTAACTTGCCATTCAGGTTGACTAGAGATCGTGGGAAACCGAAGTGTGGCTGAAGGCCAGTTGAACTGATCCCTAAAGTGTTCTGCCCATCGATCCAATCTCCTGGATTGAGAATGAATAATATGTCCATCTTTCTCTGAGATTGTTTCGCTAACGGTCGGGTTCCTAATTCCGGTTTCCTTAACGAGTCTGAACAATTGTCTGCTATTACCTATTGCCGCTGCCTTTTCCATCTCTCTTGCTTTCGCTACCCACCACTGTTCGCGATCATTGCGTAGACTTCTTGTCAGCTTGCGCTTAAGCTGACTCCGCTCTTCATTATGTTCAGAGCCAGGTGGAATGAGTTTCCGAGCATCTATCAGTGAGATAGATGCTGCTGAGATCCAGTGTTGCTCCCTAACCTTCTGGTTTACCTTACTAGCAGATATCACTGCTGTTTCCACAGCTTTTCGGATATCATTCCATGCTGCATCGGGGTGGGCATCACATACATGGCTGCCTAACTGTTTTCCTAGTTGTTCCTGAAATATACTCTTAGCTTGACTATCATTAAGTAGGCCCTAAGAGGTTTCCTTGCAGCGTCTTTCCTACGTCCAGTAAGACGCAAGCAAATACGCGCTCGCACTAGAGCATGATCTGAATCTAGGCATGTGCTCCAGAATGAGCGACAGTCTTCTATCGAGCCCCTCCATCGGTGGCTGATAGCGATGTGATCTATTTGGGTCCAACGTTGGGACGAATTAGGGGGTCGCCATGTTAAAAGATGTTTTTCCTTATGCTTAAAGTTAGTATTTGCAAGGAACAGGCGGTTATCTGAGCATAGCTGCAACAGACGGTCGCCATTATCTGTTCTTTGAGCCACGACACCATAAGATCCACCTAGGTGTCTTTCCCTATCGCTTAGTTTACCTACTTGAGCATTAAAGTCACCGGCCACTATTACTACATCCGAGCGCTTAGCTTTTCGGAGAAGGTCCGAAAGCTTTCTGTAAAACTCATCTTTTACATCATCTGAGCTGCAGTCAGTGGGAGAATAGGCAGAGACGACGAAGAGGCAACGACGAGTGTCCCTATCTTTCCGGATTCTTACTGTTCCGTTCAGTCGGACAGCGCACAAACGACTGTCTACTGGGATCCACTCTAAGAGAGCTAGTTCTGCCCTAGGACTCAATGCTATACCTACGCCGGCGAGGCCACGGGAAGCAGAATCAGGGCTTCCAGATACACGAAGCGTAAATCGAGTCGGTTCTTTATTTTGGCATGGTGAGGTCAAATGAATGACGCTACTTGGATCCTGTATGCGCGTTTCGGAGACGCAGCACACATCGATGGCGCGAGATTCTAAAGTTTTAGCTAAGGAAGCCTGCTGTCCTATTTGGCAAAGTGTTCGTACGTTAAAAGCTCCTACGTGTAGTTTAGAGCGTGGTTTCAGGAGACCAGGAATGGCGTTCCACGTACTCGAATCGTTTGCCCTAGCGGTGCGAGGTGATAAAGAGACGTGAGGAGGGTTAGTCATGGAGATAAGAGAGGTATTAGGAGGTGTAGGAAGGATTTGAATGTGACCACCTTGGTCTCTTGTGCTGTTACGGGTATGAGGGCTGATGTCACTTCCCGGCTGCCCACACCGTGGAAGGGTATTTCTTGAGGAACCTGAAAAGGAAATTGGATTAGTGTTGGTCTTGACGACCTGGGAGCGTGACCGCAGAGCCCAAGGGACAACTGCTTGAGGCCGGTCGCGCACGGCCTTTTTGTGGAAGGTTTTTGACGTGTTAGCTCCGTTCTTCAAAGGGCCTTACCGCCGGAGACGGAAATCCGTGAGGTAAGGTGAGGTGTGACATTTTTAGGGTCGACCTTTTCTAACCCCACCCCTCCTTGTGGGAAGGCAGCATCGCTGTCATGCTGGTTGTCCGAGGGAAACACCTTACTGCTGTCACACCTCTCTACAGTCAGCAGTACGACTTCGCCCTCAGACCTTGAGTTGCTGCTTTTAGTCTTACCGTTCTCCAATCGACCTGCCTGGCATGGTAGAACCTACAGGAACATATGTTCCAGCCAATATAGCTCGGTTGGGTCATCACGATAGGCAAGCCCGACCACCGCGTCAAGGTAGCAGCTTCGGTAGGGAATAATCAAGGTGAAATAGTATAGTGTACCCTTAAATCATGAGATTAAAATTGCCTCGTATCTTTCTTTTCACTAAATAATGTTTCCTGTAATTGCGTGCAATCTTTTTATTTATAATAATATCATTGAAGTAACTGCTTCTATGAATTTGGTGTTCATCTTGTGCTAATGAGGTATGGCAACCTGGACCAATGCATAAATGTGCCTGGTCACTGGATGGCTAACTGCTATTTAACTGTGGTTTAATGAATTTCGCCTCGAATTCCAGAAATTGTTATCCTTAATTTGATTGTTCAACGAAACTTATGGTACAGTAAGCCTCTTTCTACTTTGTGGACGTGAAACATGCCCATTAGAAATAGGGGATATTTGTTGGTTACTAGTATTCGATTGTAGGTGTCTTCAGAACATTGCTCACGTGTTTTAAGACCACGGAGTAGGCAATGTCAAGGTTAGTAATAGGGTACTAGGTAAGGATGGGAAATTCATTAGAGGTAATAATTCTTCAACGGAGGTAGTTGGGACGTGTGTTGGGTTCGCCAACCCAGCACTTTCCTCAACAGTATTTTATGGTATAGGGCTAGACTAGAAGAAAGCTATGTGCCAAATGCCCTGGTGCGACCAAATATGGTGAGAGTCCGCTCTCCCTCTCGAACTCCTCTCGCAGGGTTATGGGTATATACCCACTGACAGGAAAGTCCTACTCATTGCCTTCTCGTGGCGGGGATGTTGTTCACGAAATTCGGGAAGAGAAGCGAATGTTTGGCGCTTTAACCGGGTTGGTGGATGCGGAGGGTACACCCAGGGGAGTTGCTAAACCCTGACTTCACACTAATAGCGCAGGCGAATCCCTTTTTTATTTCCCCAAGTTATTATTTTCTGAATTCTTCCTAGATTTTTATTTCATTAATTTGTATTCTCAAATGATATCTTCGATGCTTAGTCTTTGGGATTATCAGTGATACTGTTTCTACCTCTACTATTCTATGATATGACCTTACAGCTTCATGTTGGTGTGCTAATGAGATATGGTAATGTGAACCGATTTACATACATACTAGGTTCTAAGTAGTAACTGACCGACTTTTATTCTTCATTTTATTTAAACTCTTATTAGGTGAAAGCAAGTGCAACAGCCAAAGCTACTGTCGCAGCTTTTGCTGCAAGTGAAGGACACGCTCATCCACGTGTCATAGAACTACCAAAAACTAATGAAGGTCTAGGTTTCAATGTTATGGGTGGTAAAGAACAAAATTCATCTATTTACATAAGTCGAATTATTCCTGGTGGTGTTGCAGATAGTCATGGTGGTTTAAAACGTGGTGATCAATTGCTATCAGTAAATGGGATTTCTGTGGAGAGTGAACATCATGAAAGAGCTGTTGAACTTTTGAAATTAGCACAAGGTGATGTACCGTAGATTTTAAGATGTTTTTCTCTATCAATACATGTGATATTTCATTATTACAGAGTTTCATGTTAATATCCTTATTATCACGTTCTCACAATGCTAGAATACTCGTCTATATATGCTTGTTCTAATCCACATTATGCGTAGTTTTAGTATATTCATAATTACTTGTTATACATTGTTTTTCCAGTTTAAATCATATCAAAAAAATTGTAATAATAATCTCCTTTCCATTATAGGTACTGTGAAACTTGTAGTAAGATATACACCACGTATTCTTGAAGAGATGGAAGCACGTTTTGACAAGCAAAAAGCTCGACGTCGGCAACTTAGTTAATACAAATTTGGAAGTGTGTATGCATAATGCTGTGCTGTATCACTCACTAGATTATTTAGACGAACACTGCAGGTTGAGTTGTCTAATAACGTTCTTCAAATAGTTTGTTTTTTCAACTCTGTCTTTCTATTCTAACTTGTTACATTCTCATTAGGATTTGTATATAATTTGTTGTTTATATTAGTTTTTGATCATTTTGTTGATTTTCAATTTTTCATTATACTCTGTTTTAATATGCTGTAGTCATTTAGACAAAATATTTAATTTTTACGTAACAATGATTTCGATGACTTTAAAATAGAATATTTGTCAAACTATAATTCAGTCATTAATCATTTATTTATTTGTGAAATTACAACTTGATTTATTGAAGTAGGCTTGTAAGCATGATCACTTGGTTTTTGATGAATTATGTTGACTGGTTATTGCTTCCAAATGTCTCTTATTAAAATGTAATTATGCGAATTTCATGGATTATGCTGAGACATGTACATGTATGATATATGATCACTTCAGCTGTGAGAAAATAACAATGGTAGAAATTCCACTGAATATATGTTTGTAGTCTAACGACTATTGTCTGTGGAAGTAAGTACTAGATTTGAGGCAATGGATGTAATGAGATACGAATGATCCAATAAACGTTAAAATGGGAATGTACGTAGTTGAGTTATCGTTCTAGGTAAGGACACGTTATATAAGCGTACGAAGAGAGGAAATTAACAAAATAACACTACGTTCGAGGCGAAGGAAATGAGATCAAATGACACCTAACTCTAAATTTAAATTAAGGTAGAGAATAAATGCAATTACGAACTCATCACGTCCGAGCTCCTGGTGGCCTTGGAAAATGAAAATGTACCTTCGGGTCTAAATGGATATTTGAATTATTAGTTATCAATTCGCAAATTAGTTATTGTGTCCATGTAGAGTGAGGGCATACAACCACCTCTCTCCATTGTTCCATTCGAGCAGTGGAGTTAGGCAGGGTTGCCCAATCTCAATCAAATCGCAGATTAGTTAAATATTTAAGGTTGTATATGATTTCGTCGAATAGGGTTTTCCTTGAGCGGCGAACGTAATTGGTGAATTGTTAACTAATATTGAGTTTTAAGGCATCAAATGTTTGAATTTACTTATTGTAAATGAACTTTGATTTAGATGTTTACAATACATACGACCGATAAGCCCCTTAAACAAAACTGATTGACGTCACGGCACATCATCTGTGCATTGCAACACCCATTCACAAGTAAAAGTGCTTTTTCCCGATACACACAAACTATTCGGCTTTGACTCTGTTGATTGTAAGGTTCTATGGCACTGTATGTCACTGAAACGAGTACCAAAGAAGTACATTAACCTTATAAAGGCTCTCTACTCGAACACAACTGGTCGAGTGAGAGCTTATGGAGAACTGTCATCAGAATTGATTACCTCGAGTGGTGTTCGTCAGGGCTGTCCACTCTCCCCATTCTTGTTCAACTTTGTGGTCGACGTACTTTTAGAGATAACACTCTCCTCATCTAAATTTCCAGGAGTTGAACTTCTACCGGGAGGTTCACTTGTTGACTTAGAATATGCTGATGACATAGTTTTATTTAGTGAAGACGCTGACAAAATGCAGAGTCTTCTGACCACTCTAAGCTACAATGCAAGCATGTTCGGGATGCGATTCTCTCCCTCGAAATGCAAAATGTTGCTTCAGGATTGGGTTACATCGACACCCAAACTAGTGATAGGGAGTGAAGTAGTTGAGTGTGTCGACCGCTTCACTTATCTTGGAAGTCTCATCAGCCCTTGTGGTCTGGTGTGTGATGAAATCTCAGCACGGATACAGAAGGCTCGACTAGCTTTTGCCAACTTGCGTCATTTATGGCGTAGGCGAGATATCCGTCTATCAACCAAAGGACGTGTTTACTGCGCAGCAGTTCATCCCGTCCTACTTTATGGCAGTGAAACATGGCCGGTAAGAGTAGAGGATATTCGTAGGTTACTATTATTTGATCATAGGTGTCTTCGAAACATTGCTTGCATATCATGGGACCATCGAGTAAGTAATGCAGTTGTTAGGAAACGGGTACTAGGTAAGGATGACGAATCAATTGGTGAAGTAGTGAAACTTCATCAGTTGAGATGGCTGGGACACGTGTTGTGTATGCTTAACGACCGACTACCTCGACGTGATATGTTCAGCGGTATAGGAGTAGGTTGGAAGAAAGCTAGAGGCGGCCAAACCAAAACATGGCACAAGTCCAATAATATAAACAAACAATATTCCATGGTGTCATTGAATAAGTAAAAGAGGTATGGTCTTGTGAGCATCGAAACGACTGATTACAACCACCTTACATCAAATGAAGTTCTATGATAATATACTAAAATAGTCAGACCATGAAATGAATGTCATTGTGACGAGTGGCAAGTACGCACCATTTATTTTTATAATTTACACTGTCATCTTCATCATTATCATCATCATCAATCAATCAATCAATCAATCAGTCAATTGTGAATTCAATTTCTTGACAATAGTTTCAGTTAAATTCAATGAAGCAGAATGAAGAACTGCAACATCATTTGAATTATGCTTTAGGCGGTTTTCACATGTGACAAAAAACCTTGTTTTATGAATGAGGATGATGATTGAAAAAAAAGCATTCGTAAGTTTATCAAAAGATGATATTCTAGTTAATAATTTATAGGCTAAATCAACTCTATTAGTAATAGGTGTTCACATGATGGCATGACCTGTTTAACTTCCACATTATTTACACAGACTTAAATGCATTCTGCAACATTTTCACAAGACTTTTACCATGTATAAATAGACATTCGACATTGAGTGAACCAAGTGATGTACATATGAAAATGATTTACATTGTGACGAGTGCGCATTATGCATAGACAATTTTAATCGACACTGCCTCATAGCTTGAATAATTGCTTCTTCCATACCCTGTGTATAACATATAATTGTAGCCATATTCTCGTCTGAATGCTGTATTCAACTCTAATGATAATCACTGACATCGTAAAGATCAGTGGCCAAATTATCTCAATCTCCAATCACATTTATCTGTCAGCATAATACAGTGTTATTCAAAGTGAATCTTGGGTTACCTGCTCTCGGTTCACGGTAAAGAATTCCAAGGAGATTCAAGCTAACATTACACCAACGATTAGTATTCTGTGGCTGACATTAGTATTTTGCAGTGAAAAGTAGACTATGACTTGAACTTTATGGAGAAATTAATCGACTTCACCTATCACATATGACAGAACCAACTGTTTTCTGTAAGAATTGTTTTATGTGGGTGGATTTTCATTACAGATGGATGTTGGTTGCAGTACCAGCGTAAACTAAAAGGTGCTAGGTAGTCATTTTGCCGTAACATGAAATTTCTCAGTAATCAACATTTTGTGTAGTCGCCTAGCTTAATGTCGAGTAGATTGAGACTATTGGTGTGGATTATTGGATGACGATTCGATAGTCTGAACGTTAAGCGTTTGACGGAACACCTGAAAATCATTCAATCGACCACCGTTTCAATGTCGGCAAACATCACAGAGTGGGCGATTTCCAAATTCATTCGAGTTCAGCACACATATTTCAGTGAACATATATTCCGAACGATATGAGAAGTAAGTGTCACCACAACAACCGTTACTGGGTGGTAAAAATGAAATCAATGAAAATACATGCAAATGAAATATTTAGTGAATGGTCTTCACATTTAACCAAGATGATGTTGCATTTAGATGCAGTTGGTTGACCCGTCTTGTGTTCTAGTGCACTACAATACTAGATAAATCGAATTCACTTACATCTGTCTCTTGGATAACTCACGTTCTCTAGTTCCGTTCCATATGAATTGTTTAGATTGAGTGGAATATTGATGTTTAGTGAATTTCAGTAGGATTCCATATTTACCGGTTAGGTGAAACCTGCTGACAAATTATGATAAATCGAAGTTGTCGAATGGATGTCCGAATTAGGAATTCTCAGAATAGTGCAATTTAAGACAGACAGACAGACAGAACTAAATGAGCTCAAATCTCATCCACTTAGAATCAATCTTCACTGGATTTGTGCGGATAGTAAAGTTAGTGAATTCTCATTGAATCCAATATAAACGGGATATGGGACATGGGCTCCACTGTCAACAACTACAACACATCTGTTCTATTGAACGTGTGACAAAATCACTATATCAACACAATCCACACACACACATTGTCCATGTTCACTTGCAAATGTGATCACAATTCAGTCGTGAATGTCAACAACAAAATAGTGCAAAGGTTTATTGATTATAGTACATATGTGATCAATCTCGGTCTATTCAAGCTGCAAAACAATCTCAGTATCCTATATGACGATATTAAACGAGTGAATACTAGCTGTTTTGATTTTCATTCAGAAAGTTGATGCATTTCACAGTGTATTCACACAAATGCATTAGAGCATTCAAGTTTTCCGGAGAAAATTGAATTGATCTCTTCAACTGTGAGCATTATACAGAAGATGATCAACTAACAGTCACACAAATATCATTGATTCTTTATTCAATTCAAAATGATTCCATCTGTTTACAGAACATGGAATAGTTCTAAACAGTCTATTCATCAACTATCATCCATTGAAGTTAGTCTACTAGGAGAATGGGTTATATGAATCACCTTGACTTTAGAAAAATAATCAAACAAAAAGTAATAAAGTTGAGAACTCATAGACAAAAAGAAAACAGAAACCAAATTCATCAATGTGATTTATAAAGAATAAAAACAATCAAAAGAAAAATCGAAAAAAAAACAGAATAACTAAAATTGAATGAGAATATAATCAACACACATGTAGACAGTCATCCAATGATTGATCGATTTTCTAAAATGAAATCCGACCAATCAAAATGGGATTATTGATTTCGTCTTCTGTATTTTGATTGGATGAATCATTTGTCTTTGTGTCTTATCCTACTTCCTCTTCTATAGAAACT